AAAAAGGTGCAGATGCAAATACAATCAGTGGATGCACACAGACAGCTGTAATGAGCATAAGCAGTGTTGACAATGAATGCAATAAATTAATACATCTTGCTTTTTTCCCTTAAAGATCGCCGTTTACACGTCTCTAATAATAAAACACTATTTCAAGAAATAAATCTCATAAAAAAACAGTATAATGACTATATTTGACTTTTTGAACATCACAACATTAAAAAACAATCATCAGTGTTTCAAATACCCATGTGGTATGAGTGTTGTGGAGTGCAACGTCCCCCCCGCTGAATGTTTCAACAAAGGTACCATCTTAACCATCTAATTTAAATATAGTTACAAAAAAATAAATAAAACAAGGCCTTCGTAACGAAGCAAACCGTCTGCTGCGCGCAGAAGAGAGGCACAAATTAGGACTGAAGTAAACATTTAATCTGCATTGCCTTTATGCAGATGACCCATTCTGATATAAACATAAAAAACAATTAAAGCTGCAAGCAGCGTTGAAGGCCCTCGCAGCGAAGCGCCGCTGCGGCCTTATGGCGACCGCGGGAACTGCAGCGACCCTTCCCGGTCGCCATCGAGAACGCTCACGCTACTGTCACGCGCCCGTTCTCCGGAGTGCGCATTCGCCAAACCTTTGACATAAGCTGCGACCGCATATATACCTATTGTAATAATGTAGGGGGCGCACTTGAGTCAAATATGAAACAACAACACCACTGCGTCCATAAGTCGTCACTAGTCAAGCACCAAAAATCTGGTCCAGATCGGACGATATATCACTGAGATATAACAGTTTGAATTATCTAGGTGGCGCACTTGAGTCAAATATTAAACAACAACACCACTGCGTCCATAAGTCCTCACTAGTCAAGCACCAAAAATCTGGTCCAGATCGGATGACACATCACTGAGATAGAACAGTTTGAATAATGTAGGGGGCGCCCTTGAGTCAAATATTAAACAACAACACCACTGCGTCCATAAGTCCTCACTAGTCAAGCACCAAAAATCTGATGCAGATCGGACAATATATCACTGAGCTATAACAGTTTGATTTACCTAGGGGGTGCACTTGAGTCAAAAGTAAAACAACAATACCATTGTGTGTTTAAGTGCTCACTAATCACACACCAAAAATCTGGTCCAGATCGGATGACACGTCACTGAGATATAACAGTTTGAATAATGTAGGGGGCGCCCTTGAGTCAAATATTAAACAACAAAACTAAAATGTCCATCAGCTCTCAGTAATGATGCACCCAAAATCTGGTCCAGATCGGATGACATATCACTGAGATATAACAGTTTGAATAATGTAGGGGGCGCACTTGAGTCAAATTTTAAACAACACTAACAATGTGTTTAGACATGGTCACACATTATGCCATAAAAATCTGGTGCAGATCGGATGATATATCATTGAGATATAAGGGTTGGAATAATATAGGGGGCGCTCTTGAGTCAAAAGTTAAAAAACATTACTAATGTGTCCATCAGGGCTACATAATAATATACCAAAAATTTGGTGCAGATCGGATGATATATCATTGAGATATAACTGTTGCAAGATTGTAGGGGGCGCTATAGAGTCAAAATTTAAAAAACATTACTACTGTGTCCACCAGGGCTAAATAATAATACACCATAAATTTGGTGCAGATCGGCTGATATATCACTGAGACAAAACAGTTTGAATAATGTAGGGGGCGCCCTTGAGTCAAATATTAAACAACAAAACTAAAATGTCCATCAGTTCTCAGTAATGACAC